CAAACAAATGAATACAAACCTGTGTTTTGGCTTTTGTCGGGTAAATGACAAACAGTGACAACTGGACGGTACTGATGAGGACAGCGATACCATTGGTGACCGACACGAACTGGTCATTGATCACCAGACCGTAGAGTAACCACATTAGGCTCACAACAAACGATGACGCTATCAACACAAATGGCAACTTCTCGGAGCTCTTAGTCCGCAGGACTTCGCCCACACCGACCAACGGAGCCGAACAGCACAGCAACGATGCCATACAGGCTAACAGACCGGCCAAATACGTGGGATCCGATCGGGACTCGACCACTATCGACACGGACGCCAATATCACTAATAGGTAACCAATTTGTCTATTGAGTGGACCCTAAATACAGTTACAAATGCATTAAAAACTATTAAAACTCACATAAAACACAATATAATTATATATGAGATTTAAAACGTTGTATTAGTTACACGTTTGCCGGTGAAGGCATAAAACCAGATCAGATACAAGACTTGCAGCGATAGGCCGATCGTATTGACAAAAATCATGGTCTCATCCGAAAGCATATAACCATATCTTAGCCAAAGTGTGCAACTGTTTTGCGGAAGTTATGGTTAGGTTGTGGTGATCGATGAGATCAGATGATCGATAGACCGAGAAATATGTCAACAAAAAAATATTTCACATTAAAAAACTTTAACCACTTTTTTATGAATGGCATAAAAATAAACAAATCCTAAAATCTTAGGCAAAACTCTAACCACAAAACGCCAGCAATGAATGGTATGGCAGAGAAGTCAAGAGTGGATCCCTTGCGGTAGATATTCAAGCAGATGGACCTGTTTTATGGGTGATAATCAAAGACATCATACAATTTAGTGATCATATCGTTAAACAAAAAACAGATAACAAACTATTGAAAGACACAAAAAAGTTTGTAAAACAAAAACGTTAAAAATCGGAAACATCTCCCAATGGGATCAGTTCGGGTGATCTCTTAGTGTCCACTTACAGACCGCTGATGAATGATATGACGGTCACTATAGTGGCCGCCAGTGCTATCGTCTCGACCACAGACATTATGGTAAGATTTATTGCAACTTATTATTAATTATAACAAAAATAATACAATTAATAAATTAAAAATTTTTGTAAAACAAATGTCACATAAAATATATAATGAATTAATTATAATAAATGCCAACAAAAACGACAACACATTGTATGCGAAACGCTATGAAAAGTGGCTTTAAATACAACTTTCAAAACACAAAACATGTGATATACAGGTCCTATCGCTACAGGCGATGCACTGTTATAGTGTACAGTACACTATACAAGTTTGTATCATCCATGTTCATTTAAAAGTATGCTACATGTGTATGCAAAATAAAATAATTGAACATCTGATTAGAAATTTGTTTTGATTGCTTTCATAGTTTAAAATTTGTAATTAATATTTATAATTAATTATTTTTAAATTATTATAATTGTATTTATTGTGTACTGTATATCACAAGTGACTTAAGAACTGTGAGTGACATCTCTTTTATGGTTATTGAACATAATGTTGTCGAACAGGAATTTTAGTTTGTACCTAGGTTATATCAATAATTCATGCAATATCATCGTGATAAGAAAACAAATGCAATGTACACGTAGTATATTTTCTATTCATTACTAGACAACAAATTAATTAATTACAGAGAGAGAGAGAGAGAGAGAGAGAGAGAGAGAGAGAATGTGAGTTAATATACAATAAATTGTTAATTTGAAGGACTTTTAAACACAATCTCGTCCTTCAAATGACAACTTTTCTTGTCTTAAATAAAAAATTTCTATAAAAGTGTAGTGTTTTGTCGCAATTGTGAGCCTCGGCTACACTTGGAGTCAAAATTTTCATAAAAGTAAAGTTTTAAAAACTCATAATTTATTGCAAAAATAGGTCCGGAATTTGTAGAAGAGTTTGAAATTTATAAAATCAAATATGGTTTGATAATAAATTTAAGCCTTAAAATACAAATCGCAATTAAATGCAATCACATGAATATATTTATCATTTGTTTATAAAATTAGTGCACATTTTAAAACAAACTAGTATTTAAAATTAATAATTCATATAATTTAAGATAGTATTAAGATTTATTTGTGGCTACATTTGTGATAAATATTAGAAAAATCATAATTAAAAAGCAATTGTAAATTAGATATAAATAAAATTTAAAATAAGTCATAAACTATTTAATGTTACACTAATTGAATGCCTTTCAGCACATCTACTAATGGCAACACTTTTGTCTGCGGAACTGAGTTCTCGCCCCACATATTGTC